ACTGTCAGACCCCAGAGTTGAGGGTAGGCCAAATCTGGGTATGATTTCCATCATTAATTTCTTAGTTACTATCTGGGTCATTTCCATTCAGGTTGGAAAGGCCTCTCTCTATCTCGCCAACACTGTGTTGATAAAGACTGGCAAGTATTTATATCCCTATGACCCTTGTTTGATTTCAGTAAAGTCCAATTCCCCAAATTCATCAGATACAGAACCTTGACTTTGGTGCCCTTGGGGCAATATATCCATTTTTTGCATTCACCTGAGTGCAGGTCAAGCAGCAATTTGAGATGTTTTGAAGTACCTCCCGATGTCCAAAGACATCAAAGATTGGGAGAGATAAGTTCTACTTGAAGGTCTTCTTTATGTACTTGAAGGTCTTCCTCAAGCCTCGGGGATTGTGACTCACATAAAGAAGCCAGAGGTCTCTTTAGGAGGCTATGAGACATTCTTGAAACATGTGTCTCTGTACTTATGCAGGAATAAGATATTCAAAACAAAGTAAATGTAAAAAGGTCAACAAGATTTGGTGGGCTAGAGGAGTTGGCCACAGATCAGATTATAAGCCCCATCCCACTATTAACTCAGGCAATTATGTGGCATATACAGCAACAAAGTTAGATTAGCTGAAGTTACCTTAGCCCTATACAAAGACTTATATTGATGACCAAAGTATGGAGTGGAAAGATGATAAAAGAATGAGATGTCAGGGCCTCCCTTTCTTAGGAAAGTTAGCACATGCAGAGCCACTGTGATATCATATGACTAAGGAACAACAGAATGCCAGAATTAGACATATAGACAAATTCTACGAAGATATAAAATATAAACATTGTATTATGCCAGAATTTGAATAATTACAGCAGCTTAAGCCTGAAGATTTTTCTTGGGCACTCTGACCATGGAGTTAATAATACACTGCTTGGGACATGGCAATATGCCTGGCTGCCTTGAAGACTTTGTTTTGGTCTGATGTCCTTGTAACCACAAAAGCTAGTCAGCTAGATAGCTGAGAAGAGGCTATCATATGCCTCTAGATTCTTAAAAATTACGTTACTGGATTAATGAGTAAGAATGGTAGCTCTGTTTATTAATGATGTCAAAACTTAGGAAAAATGATTAAAATGATAACTCTGTTCTGTCACAGTTTATTAATGACTAAAAGATGAGCAAAAGGAAGTGAAACACATGTCTAAAACAAAAAATGATATGATCTATGTTTTGGACATCATGATGCATCTAGCTTACTAAATTTATATAAATAAAGAAGCACTCTGACTACAAGATCCTCCCAACCACCATGGCCTGGCTTACCTCCTTCTGTCGTCAACTCCTTACAACCTCTTCTGGGACCTACCCCACCAGGGATGGCTCCTGGCAAATGAGGTCCAGCTGGCTACCCTGAATGACATTCTGGATCTTCAGGCAATCATGTATGACTTCCTGAGGGTCAATGTCCAGGAACAGGGTAGCAAGGTTGATAGCCATGGATTTGTCAAAAGCCAATCTATCATTATTTAGAAGGGCCTGGTATAGGGTTAGAGGAATATCAGACATCCAGCAGTATCATCTCTTAATGAGAGTCTTAATGCATGTGGGATCGTTATGGTCAGATTCTGTCCCAGGGTAAGCTTGTCTGCCTCCTTTACAAGGATTGGTAGCTGCCACTGCTTGTAGATAAGGGGGCTGTCCTGAGGCCACATGATCCAATCTTGTTGAAATGTAGGCAACTGACCTTTTCCAGGGACCCAGGGCTTGGGTCAGGACTCCTTTGGCAATGTCCTTTCTCTCATGGACACAGAGGAGGAAGGGCTTGGAGGTGTCAGGAAGAGCTAAGGCAGAAGCCTGCAAAAGCGCCTTTTAAGAGCTGCTAACTTTCCTCAGTGCACTCCAAAGGGGTGTTAGCCCTGCCATGGCTGAGTACACGGGTCTGGCAATTTCAGCAAACCTGGGTATCCAGAGGCAGCAAATACACAATAGCTCCCAGGACCTCTAATCTGCCTCTTTGTGGTTTGAGTAGGGGTTCAAATTATGACTTCTATCCAGGCCTTTGATAACAGTCTTTCTCCTTCCTTTAATTCATATCCCAAATAGGTGACCCACAGTGAGCAAATCTGAGCTTTCTCCGTGGAAACCTGATAGCCTCGTTGAGCCAGAGTTCTTAAAGAGACCCCGAGTAGCTAAACAGTCCTTGAATTTTTTTGCACCCAGCAACAAATCATCCACATCCTGGAGTAAGGTAACTTCTGGATACTCACTGCAGAAGAGACTTAAGTCCCCGTTGAAGGCTTCCTCGAAGATGGTAGGGGAACTGCTGAACCCCTGAGGTAATCCAGTCCAGGTCAGTTGCCCTGATATTCTCAGTTCAGGGTCAGCACATTCAAATGTAAAGATGGGCTGGCTTAGTTTTGACAAGGGAATGGAGAAAAACGCATCCCTTAGATCCAGTACCGCATAAACCCGCTCAGGCAGCAGCATGCTGAGCAGAGTATGAAGAGGGTTAGCAACAGTTGGGCAAACAGGTTTCTTCCTGCTCATTCACTCACTCCCCTTAAACCCTGGACTGGTCGATAGGGTTGGTCCCAGGCTTTGGGACTGGTAATAGGGGTGTTCCAGGCTGACTGGCATGGAATGAGTATGCCTGTCTTGAGGAGGCGACTGAGATGTATCTTGATTCCCTCTCTGGTCTCTGTACTGATGGGATACTGTCTGACTCAGATGGGCATGGCCTCAGAAGTCAGCTGAGCTATAACTGGCAGCGCATGCCTGGCCAGACCAGGACTGGTTCTGGCTCAGACAGCAAGAACATCCCTGATCAGTTGCTCGTTTAGTCTCCCCTCAGGGGCGTGGGTCAGACCCTAGAGGAGAAAGAGCAGGAGGTACTACTGGATTAAGGGACAGGTAATGGTCAGGATTGTGGCTGGGCACCCTAGCTTATCTCCTGAGAATGAGATGGTTGCCTGGAGCTTGCTTAGGACGTCACTTCCCAGCAAAGGGAATGGGCACATTCAAGACTAACAAGGAATGGATCATTGTCCTCTCTCCCAGATTAACAGTCCATGTTGTAGTCCATTTAGATTTGTTTGAATGGCAAGAGGCCCTAGGGGTTTTGTAATACCAAATGTGAAGCCCCCATATCGACTATGAAGTTTACAGGTTGGTACTAATTGAAAAGATTATTACCATCGACTCCTGGGGGGCTGATTTGAAAAAGCCATGGCCCCACTATTCTCCTAAAGCCAAACGTGGCCTTGGCCAGGGAGGACCTACCCATCTCTGTTTGGGGCATTCATGTTTCCAGTGCCCCAATTCCTTGCAGTAAGCACACTGGTCTCTTCGCAGAGGCCTCCCCCTTCTGTTGTATGTTGTTTGGCCAGGACCGAAGGAGCCAAAGGAATGTTGCCCATAGATCACATGCTTAAACAGCTCGATTTGTTTTTCCATCTCTCTGTTGTCAAACACTTCCTGGGCGACTTCCAATAATTCTGACCTACTCATCTCAAAAAATCGATCCATGCTTTGAATTTCTTTCCGTATGTCTGGGGAAGACTGGGCTGCGAAGCTCAGGTTAACCGTGAAGCGGTTTGCTGGGTCATCTGGATCTATGGATGTATAGTCACGGTATGCCTCCAGGAGGCGTTCCAGAAACGCTGCCGGGGGTTCCTTGGGACCTTGCATTGTATCTGTCACCTTGGAATAGTCAGTGGGCTTCCGGGCTGCCCGTTTTAGTCTATTGAGCAAAGCCTGGTGGTAATCATTGAGGAACCTCCTACCTTCCTCTGTCCTGTAGTTCCAGTCTGGTCTCTGCGTAGGCAGGGCATCCATTCCACCAAGTTGTTTAGCTGCATCCTTCAGAATCTTTTCCCGCTCCCACTTTGTGAAGAGGATATATAAGATGATTTGACACTCATCCCAAGTAGGACGGTGGATGAGGAAGACCATTTCAATTAGAGAGATTAGGGGCTTTGGGTCTGTGCTAAAAGAGGGGCACTGCACCTTCCAGTTAAGAAGATCCCTGGTGGTTAAAGGCTCATAGGCTATATGGCTCCACGTTGTGCTGAAAGGAAGGTTCTGGATGTTCTGGTTATAAAGATCAGTGCTGGTAAAAGGCACACAGGCATCAGAGGGCGGGGGTAGAGCTTGGGGTGGGGGTTGAGGTGGAGGGGGTGTTACAGGTTTGGGCTGAGGTGGGGGACGTGTCACAGGTTTGGGTTGGGGTGGGGTGTGTGTCACAGGTTTGGGTTGAGGTGGGGGACATGTCACAGGTTTGGGTTGGGGTGGGGTGTGTGTTACAGGTTTGGGTTGAGGTGGGGGACATGTCACAGG